AAAAATTGCAAGGATAGCATAAGGTATGATTGGAAAGATTATGAGTGCTTGAACTTCTCCAATCACCTTTGCAGCTACCTGCATACAGAGTAATATAAACCAAAATGAAATAAACTAAGCATGCCTCGATGAAATGCACGGAAATAAGTGACATATAGACGAAGAAATCAAACGTCAAAAACTTACAACCAGTGTAGTACTTGCCTTTAGGACAGACGTTGCCATTATGATTCGGCGGATGATGGCGATCGATGTAAGAACAGAGACTGCCATAATGAAGGTCATTAGAACAGCAGCAGCGCGCATATGATTGAGCTCCTGAACAATAAATCCTATTGGGTGATCGCAATCAGACTGAGATTTTTATCCAAAAGGCTCACGAGGTTAAGTTACTTACCCTTCCAAATATGTGGACGTAGGGATCATGTTCACCAATGATGGGAGTTATAGCATCATTTCCTATCCATCCAGCTATGGCGATGAAGATATTATAATTAGTAATGTTGATATAAGAAGATGAACTATCAGTAATATTGTGATACAAGAGGATGAAATAGGAACTTAAACATAAACGGTACAACTTCACAATATTTAAGTTTTGGGAATTCAATCGAATATTAGAACTTTGATGTAAGATACATGTAACAGGATATTTAGATTCGCTAACAACCTAAGCCCACCGCTAACAGATATTGTCCTCTTTGAGTTTTCTCATTCAAGCTTCCCCTCAAGGTTTTTAAAACGCGTTTACTAAGGAGAGTTTCCACACCCTTATAAGGAATGTTTCGTTCCCCTCTCCAACCGATGTGGGGTCTCACAATCCACCCCCCTTGGGGGGCCAGCATCTTCACTGGCACACCGCCCAATGTCTGGCTTTGATACCATTTGTTGTTGGGATGAAGTCCCACATTGGCTAATTTAGGGAATGATCATGGGTTTATAAGTAAGGAATACTATCTCTATTGGTATGAGGCCTTTTGGGGAAGCCCAAAGTGAAGTCATGAGAGCTTATGCTCAAAGTGGACAATATCATACCATTGTGGAGAGTCGTGATTCCTAACATTTGTAACACATCCCAAACCCACCACTAGTAGATATTGTCCTCTTTAGGCTTTCCCTTTCATGCTTCCCCTCGAGGTTTTTAAAACGCGTCTACTAGGGAGATATTTCCACACCCTTATAAAATATGTTTCATTCCCCTCTCCAACCGATGTGGGATCTCACAATCCACCCCGTTGGGGACCTAGCATCCTCGCTGGCACACTGTCTAATGTCTGGCTCTGATATCATTTATAACATCTCAAGCCCACCACTAGCAAATATTAGCCTTTTTGGGCTTTCACTCAAGGTTTTTAAAACGCGTCTACTAGGGAGAGGTTTCCACACCCTTATAAGAAATGTTTTGTTCCCCTCTCCAACCGATGTGGGATCTCACAGATTCCAATTAAATAATCTCCTAAGGAGGTCAAAGAAGTGAGAAAAGAGGGCAGTCCACTTCATAAGTCTGATATAAACTTCAGATTTTGTATAAACAAATTGCACAATAATTCTATGATTTTCAAATATTTTTCGTGTTGGACTGAAGCAAAACATGAAATCATTGAACATTAAGTAGAAAGGTGGAGTAAACATGTTCCTCACCTTTAAGGTAATAAAACATTGTGACCGCCACGATAAGAACGTTGAATAGGACTACTGTTACCCACGGCATTGCAGCAACGAAATGTCGAACCATTAACAACCAAATCACTGCCAAAAATAGAGGCAAGATTCCTCCACAAACAATCAATACTGGCCATGACTTCCCAATATCCGACACGTATCGCTACGAGTAGTACAACAGAACAAGTTTAAACTTCAGAAATGGTATGATACACAAACAAAGTTAAGACATGATAGAGAAGCTTCAGACAGGGTGCTACAGACATTATCCTAAACAGTCTAGCAACTCGAGAGTACAATTTATAGAGTTTATTTTTTCTTTTTTCCGTGTATACCTTTAAGACAAATGACCGAGAGTTGGTCGACTTATGAATAGATTTATCTATGATCAAATCTGCATCTATGTTCACTCCACCCATCTGCTTCCAATGTGTTAATGATACGTTCGAGGGGCGAGCAAGGAATTGGCAGCTCCAATAAACTGAGAAAAACACCATTCTAAGAGAGGTTAAAAATTAAAGAACATTACAAACACGTAGACATTGCAGAGAACGGATGTCGTAAACGAAGGAGAAAGGATTGAAAGATTAGCTGCATCCAAAAGATTCTAGACATGAAGTTTTCGATCTAATCTAAAACGGTATAAACAGATATAGTATCAAGAAAGATCTATCTCACTTACCATTTATGCTAGGAAAAATGACAGGGTAACAAGGACCCTGAAGGTTAACAGAGCTGTTTCTCATCTCAGGCGTAAGGAACTCAAAATAATCATAGTTCCTGTCTATCCAATCATCCATTGAGAGGCGGATTTCACCTTCTGGATAGTCACAAACCCAGTTTAGAGAGTCTTCCGAAGGAGTCGGGCAATCCAACAAGCATATACTCCGTGCATCGGCCAGCTTAAATTGACTGTCCTTCAGATGACTTTGATAAACTTGATTAGGATTCAACCAATATTTCAGCTCCAATTCACGGAGGCCGGGATTAGCATGCTTGTCACCACATACGTTTCCTTTATAGTCTAGTCCATATGTAAGCCTGATAAACAGTAGGATAAACTTACTGTTACAAGAAAATTACTAAACCAAATCACAGTGGATGAATGGGAAAACCATGACCCTTAAAAGTTATAGCGATGAAGCGATACGAGGGCGAGAGAGCACTTGGTTCTTCAGTTCCAAAGGGTTTTATATGAATCTTACAGGATTTATAGTTCATCAAGGACATAATGTCAGTTTACACATAAACTTGAAAAGAAGGAAGAACAAGGCTATAACGGCCCAGGCCCACCGCCAGCAGATATTGTCCTCTTTAAGCTTTCCCTTTCGGGCTTCCCCTTAAGGATTTAAAAAGCGTCTGCTGTTAGGAAAAGGTTTCCACACCCTTATAAAGGGTGTTTCGTGCTACTCCCCAACCAATGTGGGATATTACCAAAGCAAACTAAAAAATGAAAATGGCCTACCCATGTGCAAAATTTCTTTCAAAATGCAAGAGGGAACAGACAAAGAAGGCCCATTGAAACTACCAGCAGCTATCTAGCCAAACATTTGAGTATTAGGTTGTACTACACAACAAAATATCAGGTGGGAAGTGATGATATAGCAGAATTCATGTGGGAAGGTGAGCATCAGCATGAAGGTTCCAAATCCAAGCGGTAGTATCAGGACCTAAGCTATTGTTCTTAGCCTATTCCTCGAAAGAAATTTTTACGGGATCCCTATCTACCAAAATTTTGACTTCTGGTTAAGGCAAATGAATAATCATCGAGTCCTCTTTCCTAACAAGACATCTAAAGAGACCCGCCAACCGTTAAGTAATTAATGAACCTATCAGAGATGGATTTTTATGCTTAGTTTCTTACGACGTACCCCATAAATGGTAAAACCCTTTAGAGATTTCTGGGACCTCTATGAATGAAAGAGAAAACAGGCAAGAACATACAGAAACCATTGAAGTAGCTCACTAAAAGAAGAGGGTAGCATTAGATTTCTTACCTTAATGGGTTTCCTTGGTTGAATCCAAAGCTGGAGTTAACAATCATTCCAACCCAGAAAGCTATAAAGATGAGAAGAAACACAAGATCCCTGCATTTTCTATTGTGGCTAATGATCCCACCCATTTGGGCACTCCCATCAGTTGAGGGGTACCTCCCAATCACTGCCCCTAAAGGACCCCTCATCTTCACACCCCCTGGTTTCCCCTTCCAAGCAGAAACACAGAGAGAATCAAGTGAAAAGTATAATGAGGGCAATGGGAGTAGTAAAGTAAGGGTTCAAAGGAGGGCAATGGGGTCACAGTGTGAAAGAAAAAGCAACAAAGAAAAGGTTTCAGATTTGGAATCTTTCCGCTAATTTTTCCTTTGGGCTTCTGGACATTGATACTGTAGTGTCTCGGGGGGCTCAGCTAAAGAACAATTAAAGAAACCTTCAAGTTTTTAATGGATCGAAGACATTCGTGGAATAATATGGGATAAAGACGTTTAATTAGTGATGGGCAACATTAAATTTGGATAAAGAACTCATTTTTTTTACCCTTTCAAACAAGCACCGAGTGGAGAAATGAGCCGTTGAACCAGTAAAAGGCGAGCCAGCCAGCATGGGAGTATCTGATATTAAATTGCATACATATAATTAGGGTTTAAGGTTTAAGTCTATGATTATTCCCCCGATCTACGGACTTTGTCGGTTTTACACTGTTGATATTGCTGTGACCGTCGATGTTGTGGAAATTTTGTTGACTACACTGATTGAGTTCATCCAACGGTGGATAATAAGCCGCGTACCTTATGGATTACTGTTAAAGAGAATTGGAAGTTACGCTTTAAATTTTTTACTGAGGTGGGTCAGTGGAAACTTTTTGTGGGGTCAATTTTTAAATATATTCTTACCTTTTGTTGTAATTCAATAAAAGAATGTAACTTACAAACTCAAATTCATAATATTTATGTATTCAAAGCCTCTTTAAGAGTATGAACCACTCTCATACTCCAAAAGCTCAAAGGTAGACATAGGTATTTTGCTCAAATGATTAACATGGGAGGTTTTGCTAGAATAGGCAATAATGAGATCATTATGTTAGAAAATGATACAGAAAAGACTAGTGACATAAGCTAACTTGAGGAAAGCTCAAGTCAAGAGACAAACGAGGTAAATTTAAGCTCTCAAACGAGCTAGGACAAAGTACAGGCTATCAATGGCATATAGCCAATAGGGGATTTATAAGGTGTTCGGTATACCCAAAAGCAAAATTAAGAATGAAAACTGAATCATATAACTAGACTTCTGGGGTGAGAAAAACAGGGTTAGTGTTATAAACAAGCAATCCACACAACCACCAAAAGAAACTACTAAATAATGTGATATTAGCTGAGCCTTCTGTACATATCGATGATTTCTCACCGTAAAAATCATCTAGCAAAATTCTAGCTGTGCTTGTCTTTATATCATATGATGCTTCTCCATACAAGAAACATCTATGCCCAGTTCAAAACAACAGAAGACAGATGATAAAGCAGCAAAATAGAAAGATGGAAACTCTATTCAGAGACTTATCAAGCTGCATTTCCTGTCTTCTCATTCTGGTGCCAATATTCCCTGCGACCGAGTGATTGTAAGGCGGGTAAGGCAACAAGTTCCCATCTGCACTACCGAAAATTCTTGTGTAAACCGTTTCTCCTATCAACCCAATCGTCGGGTTTAGCAGACTTGTTACCATGGCATTGCCGAGATAAGATGGTGCGTATGGGGCAAAGTTACCATATGCCTGAGGGAAATATTGTTGGTGATAGATCCGGTGCAATGGCGAGCGGATATAATTTGGATGAAGTTCCTCACTAGGATGCAATGCAGAGGCTGCATTAGAATGGGGCGGAGTGTTCATGGACGGTGGTGGCCTTCGAGGTATGGTTATACCCAAATGAGACTTCTTGGATTCAGAATCTGAATTCGACATGCCACGGCCATAGAGGGGAACCAAAGAGGAGAGAGTGATGCTAGCCTTACAAACAGGGCAGTTGTGTGTGTTTTCGGTTTCGTTGCTGGAGATTTGTACATGAAACCATTTGTAAATGCAGGGCCAGCAGAAGAGGTGACCACAGAGGGTGACAACAGGGTCAGCTGCAGAGTCCAAGCAAATGTTGCAATCGAAGCAACCATTTGCATCTTCGGATACAGTTGACTGGGCTGACATAGATTTCCAGTTTTGCTTAAGAGAGACATCATGTTCAGACTCTAAGTAAGCCTCAGATGCAGAATAGGTTTGATCCATGGAAATAGTAAAAGTTCTGTTTATAAAAAAGATAAATTGGGACGATGAGATCCTAGAAAAATGAGTAAACTAGAGAGTAAAATCAGCTGCACACGCACACACAGGGCAAGATTCTCAACAGGTAATTCAATCAGGAGATGAATTAGCCAAAGTCCAAAAGAAATCAAATATTCAACAATCAACAAAAGGTGTCCAAAAGAAATCAAATATTCAACAATCAACAAAAGGTAATCGATGTGTACAATTACTAAACCACGGGATATTTAAGATATAACTAAGCAACAACATATTGAATAAAAAAATCAAGTTCCAAGACTGTCCACAACCAACCAACGGATTGTTAACAACAAAAGATGGAAATTGATATCAAAAGTACAGAGGCCGATCAATAGACACAATGACTGGAATCAATGTATAATGTTGACGCCATTTGGAAAGTTGTCTTAGAAAAGCTCAACCAATAAATGTGGATAGAAAACATCCAAAAATGGGCTCCCACAAAACAGAATCGTGGATCAGAACGCCCTCTATTTAAGGAAAGAGACAAAAATGATACATTCTTGTAGGCAAAAGATAAGAACCACATAAGCTAGCAAACCAATTGCGGAGCAAAAAATGAAAAATTCCGAACAAATAACAATCAGTCATCGAATTAATGTCTCAAAATATTGAAGAACGGAGAAAAACGTGGATGCTAATAGGAACCAAGTCCTTTAGAAATCATCTCAAAACCCCAAATCATATGGAAACCTCGAAGTTGAAAATCTCTGGGGAAAAATTAGGCCAAAAAAACCAAACGCCACAAACATACAAATTCTCCATAAAATCATGCACTTCAGATCAAAAGGCGGCCCGTAGAAGACCATTTTCCGATCAAAACTGTAAAGAATCCATCACCGCCCAAGGTCGAATCACATCGAAAGAATAAAAGGGCAGTTGAAACTGAAGCCAAACGAATTCACCAAACGCCCAACAACGGACAGATTAATATTCAACATTCGATTCCTTAAAATAGGAACAAAAATCCATACATTGAAACAAAACCTTAATACAATTCAAACGAAGAACGAAGGCGAAAGCAAGATTAAGAAATTAGAAACATCCAAACATTAAAAACACTCACCGTTAAATAAAAATCCGAAAGGTTTCAATCAACAACCACCAACGGGAATCAAAAAAAAAATGTCGACACAGAGAATTCAAGAACAACACTTGACAATTCTAGCGCGATAGAGACCTAGGAAGGGAAAACGAAGGGAGTTATATAGAAAGATATTAATTGCGAGTGTACTTCACGAAGGATAGAAGCGCGTTGTAAATCGGTGGTTTTTACGACCATGTCGGCGCGTCTGGTTTTAACCTGAGTCAGCCTATTAAATTTAATTTTTAAAAGACTCTAGGCGGTCCATGGTGGAAAAAACTAACTGCGCGAATAAGGCGGCTTTGGTGGCACGTGCGAAGCCCAAACAAATTTACAAGTTTACATTCGCAATTACCATAAAAACCCTTCCTTCAATTGGGACTTGCGCAATTACCATTAAACCCTCCCTTCAATTGGGAAATAGCCTCGCTGGAGGTTGTTGATTGGTTGAAGAACGTGTGGACGAGAATCCACCGAAATCTGAAGCTTCGGTTCCAAATATACCCTCCCCGAAATCCATTGCGATTTTGTTTTATTTATTTATTTTATTTGGAATTTGATAATCGTACTTTTTAAATTAAATATTCAATAATTTTTTTTCTACCTCAATAAAGATAGAATAATACATTTATATATTCATTTATTTATGTAAACAAAAAATATTGATAGTGATAAAATAGCCCATGGAATAATTTACTGTCATTGGTTTTGGCGTAGAAACAAACAAAAATGAATGTAAATTTCAAAATTGTTAATAATGGCTGTCAAATACTATAAAACTTACAAAAATATATTTTCGGAAATAAATCAAATACCTGCTAAATCAATTTTAATTTTAAACTTTAAATGACATGAATAAATATTATAATTAATATAGTATTAAAACTAAAATGGATTTTTTTTTTTAATTGATTTTGTAGTGAACTAGTTATAATTTAAAATATATATATTTATTTAGATTGTATCAATTAAAGTGTTCAACAAATAATTGTAGTGTATAATTTAAATTTAAATTAATAATTATACCAATTAGTTCATTAATTTAAATATTTGTTAGATTTTTTTTTAAATGATAGACTAAAATATAAAATTTCCATGATTGAGAAATTAACGTAAATAAATTTCATTTTTCTGGAAACTTCTAAAACTGGGATTCTTCAAATAGAATCCCCTTCCGGCGGCTGAAATAAATAATAAATTAATTAAAAAAGAAAAATCGTTTTTCAGCCCACACAAAGTTGGTGGCCTCAGGGATGACGGTGGCTTTTGCTGTGTGGATAAGATGACATGTCATCATTTAAACTCGATCGTATATATATAATTTTCAAATAAAATTTTAAGTTCGTGTTAAAACAAGTATAATTTGTAAAGAGGTTGACGTGAAATAATTTGAGCACTAGGATAGAATCGAGGTGTACAACCTAATATCCTAAAGAGAAAGAGGTGCATCGAGTTGAGACACAATCTTTACATACAAAATTTCCATTGATTCCCATGCAAGAACTACATAACCATGATGCTAGAGTTTACGAACTTGATAAACATAAAAATATGCATACGATATTTTAATCAGGTTGAGGCGGACTTAGGTTGACTCTAACCCTAAATATATTATAGTTGATACAATGTAGCAATACATTAACCTCAATCAATATTATCAAAGCTCATGACTTGTATTTTTGGAAGAAAAGACTAATTGTAACAACTTAAACCTACCGCTAGTAGATATTGTCCTCTTTGGCACTCATTCCCCTCTCCAATCGAGATGGGGTGGATTTTGAGATCCCATGTAACGGCCCATATCCACCGCTAACAGATATTGTCCTCTTTGGGCTTCCCCTTTCGGACTTCCCCTAAAGACTTTAAAACGCGTCTGTTAGGAAAAGGCCCATATCCAACGTCCTCGCTAACACTCTTTCCTTCCTCCAATCGATGTGGGACCGCCCCCAAATCCACCCTCCTTTGGGGTCCAGCGTCCTTACTGGCACACCGCCTCGTGTCTACCCCCTTCGAGGAACAACGAGAAGGCTGACATATCGTTCGGTGTCTGGCTCTGATACCATTTGTAACTGCCCAGATTCACCGCTAGCAGATATTGTCGTCTTTGGGCTTTCTCTTTCGGGCTTCCCCTCAAGGCTTTAAAACGCATCTGCTAGGGAAAGATTTCCACACCCTTATAAATAGTGGTTTGTTCTCCTCAACCAATGTGAGACATCACATTCCACTCGGTTAAAGAGGGGAACGAAGCATTCCTTATAAAGATGTGGAAACCTTTCTCTAGTAGAGGCGTTTTAAAAAATCTTGAGGGAAAATCCAAAAAAGAAAACCTAGAAAATATGACCCAATTCTTTATGGTTTTACCCCCTCAAAAGTGAAGTATGAGTTCCGAGAGATTAACTACAAATCATACATAAGGCAAAAGGGTTTATACAGATGATGTAGCCCAAGGGATTGCTAATACAAAATTATGAGCTTTGGGTTTTGGAGAATGAATGTACAAGAAAACAACAACTTCTCTATGGTTGCCTTGAAAAGGATAAACAGTTATCAAAGGACATCTAAAAGCTATCCTTTTTTCTAAGGTATTTAAGAAACCTTTGAGGAAGATAACAGGTTTATCAAAGGAAATTAAGAACCTTCGAAGAGGGGGGCAACAGCAAAACAAGAAATCTGAGTATTGCTTAGTTCAGAGCTGCAGACGATTTGAAGCAAAATGAAAAGAGTATGGCCTTTTCTTCTCAATTATCAGTTATCATCTCCAAAGAACTACACTAAGAGTACTTGATTTCATCTTAGGAACACAAGTGCTATTGATTTCTGAAAATATGCAAGTTTTTTCACATTCCCTAAGCACAAAAGAATCGCCAAATTCTCCTGTTTCTTCAGTTCAAAACAATCACAAGACAATGCATAAATCATAGAGATTCAAAGAGCAAAACTAAATACATGTTTGTCATTTTACATTCTAAAGAAGATCAAAAAGAGGGATAAATTTACACTATTTCACGAAATCAACACATTCCAGAAAAAGTGAAGGAAAACACTATCCAAAACTAGAATTCATGAAGATGGATCCTTAGTACTTCGATGTCTATAGACAATACGGCCTTTAGTAGAATCATAACGGCTAACTTCAACCCTAACCCTATCGCCAGGCAAAATACGCACGAAATTCTTCCGAATCTTACCCGAGATGTAGCCAAGAATTAGGTCTTCATTGTCCAATTGAACTCTGAACATTCCGTTGGGAAGAGATTCGATAACCGAGCCTTCGTGACTGAATTTCTGCTCTGAACTCTCGCTTTTTGGAGATTTCGCCATTGGAGCGAAACTCGCCGGACCATGGGAAGGGTTGTGGAGGAATTGAGAACTCGGAAAGGGGATTGAGACGACCGAGAGATGCGATTTGGTGGTCGGAAAAAGGGAAGTATACGGTGGCCGGCATTGGAATTGAAGGAGAGGGAATTGGAGGAGATTTGTGCTCGACATTTTTGCACCACCTTCAGTTTTCTGGATTTTGGCCGACGAAGAGATTAGATGGGTAAGGGGATAGGCCTACGCTAATTCTTTGTCTTCGACCCTTTTTTTTTTTTTTTTTCACAACTTGACTTAAACTTGGGCTTCAAGTGGGCTGAGCTCAGCCCAACAAGAAAATACAGTGGGCTTTTTTTAGATAAAATTATTTGGGCTTGGTGTAGGCCCAGTAATATTTTTTCGTATTTATAAAATATTTAGTAATATGTTCAATTATTTGATTTTAGTTTTTTTATTATTTATATTAATTCATAACTCATTGAAAGGGAAAGACAACATCCTCCCCTGCCTATAGAAGCTAGTTTGTCCTCAATCTTGACTAAATAGTCAAAACGAGAAGGGTAATTCAACTGATTAAAGCATTACACAACCGTACGCTCGACTAAATAGTATGAATGACCCAATTTAAATATAATTCAATTAATGCGTACAGATCATGAATTCAAATCTCTAGAAACTGAAAAGAAAATTATCGGGTTTGTGGAAATCAAAGACGTGATACCATTATCATAACCTATTGAAAGGGAAAGATATTATCCTCCGGTGCATGTAGGAGCTATGTACAAGAGCTCATATGTGTTCATTATGAAGGAACTATAGACATGGCAGCATGCATGCTCTATTACGATTGATATCTAAACTATGAACTATTCTAGACAATTATGAATCCAGTCAAGTTCGTTTTGGTTAGATGTTTACGTGTCCTAAATCGATCCCAAAACCAACTCTTTGGCACCATCACCTTCTAAACTTTCTAATTGAGCTTTACCATGCCTACCAAGTCGATGGCGTTTGCCGTGGCATGAACTTCTCGCAGTCACTGACCCCGATTTTTTTAAGTTCAACAACAAGCATACTCAAAAGTTTGCTCAGGGAATGTCGAAAATGGCTCGAGCAGCTCTTGTCGCCCACGTCCAGATCTTGAACCCCTCCTTTAACTAGAGATCCCACCTCAGCACCATCTGTATATGCCTTACATGCCACCAGGATATCATGACCCCTTTTGAAGAAATGTCCCCTAACAAAGTCCTCAAAATGCTACAACACAATATGCATGAACATATTCAACTAAGCAATAAGCACCAAAATTTGATGCTCTATCTACATGAAAAGAAGTCTAGAACCATACCTTTGGTGGCCTCCTGATGTTATACACCATGGTTTTAATCGACAGAAGAAACGTGTCCTCGTTATACCGTTGAGACTTATCCTCGCCCATAGCGGATCCATTTTGATACTCATATCCAGGCTCATTAAAGTATGGCTTGGTATTCAAGATCAATCCTTGGATAGACACAAGAACCTGAAGCATCGTCGACATGCCCGGAAGCCACTTCTCATTTCCTCTGCCATCCCAGGTGTTGAGCAGACTAAGACATACTTTCCCACAGTTATACAAATTCGGGTTAAGTCGAAGACCTCCAGAATGGTAATGGACTTTCTGTGTTTAAGAGACCATTATGTCTATCAGAAACATAACCACAGGGTAGTAATGACTACAAAAGAATAAAGAAACATACCGGTGGTGCATCCGGATAGTTGGTGGGGAAAAATATATCAAAGAAAAACAAGCCA